GGTTCTGTTTCTCTGGAGAACCCTAATACACCCCCCCTACACCCTAGGGTAGCCAGGATCTTGAGGGGTCTGAAAACCATAACATCCTTCTAAAATACCCTCCTCCCCTTTATTCTTCCTTTATTGTATAAATTTTTGGAGAATTAAATATGTGCACATATAATCCTTTCAAATATAAAATTAGAACCCTACAGTACACTGATCTATAAATGACTTTTCCCATATTTATCAATAGATTGTAAATTTCTGTCCCTGAAATTAATTTCACTTCTACGATTTTTAAAAAATATATTTTTATTGATTTCAGAGAGGAAGGGAGAGGGAGATAGAAACATCAATGATGAGAGAGAATCATTGATTGGCTGCCTCCTGCATGCCCCCCACTGGGGGTCAAGCCTACAACTGGGGCATGTGCCCTTGACCGGAATTGAACCTGGGACTCTTTGGTCTGCAGGCGGATGCTCTATCCACTCAGCCAAACTGGCTAGGGCTATGTCCATGATTTTTCCCTTAGGAGACAACATTCTTTAAAGTAGAATTTATGTCTCAAAGTATACATATTTTTTTCTTTTCGAACAGTATTTATTTTAATAAAGGCCATGTCAGTAAATTTTGGAAAATTTTGAAAAATAGAAAGAAAGAAAAATATCTGTGATTTGAACTCAGCCACTGTCAACATTTTAGTATATTTCATTTTCACATTTTGTATTCTATGTGGCCTTTCTTCTGAAAAAAAAAGACTGCATAACTAATTCATAGCCTATAATTTAAGATTTTACCAAATCATTTCCTGTGCATTTTTAGTGGCCGTGTCATATCCCATCATGTGCACAAGCCACAGCTTACTTGAACAATTTCATAGCCTTAGACATGAGGTTGTTTCCAGTTTTTCACAATTATAAATAGTACTGAAGTGCACCCTCCTGTGAGTGAGTGAGGCTTTCCCCCCACTGAATTTGTGGTGAGTTCCCTAAAACAGATTTCCAGTAATGAAACTATTGGGTAAAATGGGAACAAATGTTTTTGTGGCCCATTGATTACATTGCCAAATTATTTTATGTTTTAAAAATATTTTTATTGATTTCAGAGAGGAAGGGAGAGGAGGAGAGAGATGGAAACATCAACGATGAGAGAGAATCATTGATCAGCTGCCTCCTGCACATCCCACACTGGGGATCGAGCCCGAAACCTGGGCATGTGCCCTGACCGGGAATTGGACCATGACCTCCTGGGTCATAGGTCTACACTCAACCATTGGGCCACACCAGCCAGGTGCCAAATTATTTTAAAAGCCGTATGTCCTGTGAATCTGGGCGGTAGTGTACACTTCGTTAAGGCCTTTACAACTAAGGCGCAATCGTCTCTTGGAGAGCTGGCTTTGATTTCTCCTCCGAGCATTTGTACCTGAGGGGTCTAAGCCCTTTCTGGGATGTCTGGGTCCCAAAGCCAGCCAGCGTGAAGCGTGAACACCCCTCTCAACCCTTGTACCATTCCCAAGGGCCCAGCATACTCCTGCCTCAGCTGCCTGTGTGCCTGGAGCGCCCCCTGCAGTCCACACGAGGAACTTCCTTTCTTGTCTTGCGACCGGGCCTCCATTGCTTTCCCACCAAGCCCTCCTCTGGTCTCCATCCAAGTTGGAATGTATCCTGAGCAGGTGCAGAGTCTGTCACAGCCCATCCGAGGTCTCCAATTGTCTTCCTTAGGCAGCACGGGAACACGATCCATGACGTGTCCGCCTCCTGACACAGCACCTGCCGGCTCCAGGAAGCTCTGCCGTGAGAAAGCTCTCCTTGGCCTGAAATCTGTTTCCTTTGTGTCTCCTCTGCTTAAGTTTCACTCCTGCAAGGTTGCTTGTAACCCGCCTGCTTACTTTCCACTTCAGCTCCACCCCATCCCCCATCTCCCCACATGGTCTTCAAGCTTCCCTCTCGGCTAGTCCTGCCCGAGTTGGGGGTCTTCTCCGAGCCTCAGTTTCCCCACCTGTAGATTGGAGGTAGCCATCCCCATTCTGTAGGGTTGTTGCAAAGATGAGCAATTATACCAGTAAAAAAGCCTACAAGATGGTTGACTGAAAACATGCATTTACCTCTCCTTCCTCCTGAAAATCAATCAAAAGAAACTTTAAAAAGACAAGGAGGGAAAAGAGAAAAACGAATAAACGAGCTGAGGATTGGAGTTTGTGGAGCAGAGACTGCCGGACCCTTAGGCTAGATCCAGTTAGATCCCAGCAGAACGAAGATTGCTCCCACAAATCCCACCCCCCTTCCCTGTGCCCCAGGCTGCTGGTTCCTGGAAGAGGCCATTGCCCTTCCTTAGGCAAGTGGGTAAGTCTTTGCCCCATATCCGGGGTGGGTCACACCCCAGTACCCCTATTCACCCTGCCCTGTCCTACATAACCCCTTAACGCCTGCCACATGGTGCAGGGGGCATCCATGTCGTCTTGTTGTCCCCCAGATGAGCCTCGTATGTATATAAGTTCCCTTCCTAAGCTCTTCATATAATGATGGAGTTGTTAGCCTCTTTCTTTGGTATCTCGGCCTCAAGACATTTTATATAACAGTGTGAGGAAAGACTTGGACAAGTACATCACTCAATCAGACTTTAACATTTTTCTGGAATATCAGACTGGGTCAGATCACATTTATGGGTGATGAATGGGAGCAGAGAAAGGCACAGCTCAGATCAAGACGTAGAGGGAGGTCAATGGGGGATTGTGTTTTGTGTTATTGGGGAATCAGGCTGGGACAGCAGAAGATGAAGGAGCTGCAGAAACCAGGATTCCTGGGAGATGGTGCGGACCAGGTCTCAGATCTGTCCCACTGTAAGGGTAAAGACATGGGGTATCTATTTTACCTCCTAACTACTATTTGTCATTGGTTAGGGGCTATTCCCCGTGGCCTTGACTGCCCAGTCCCCCCAGCCTACTCTGTGCTTGTAGCAAGAAAGCTCAGGCAACCCAGCCAGTGTTGCTCAGGGGTTGAGCGTTGACCAAGAGGTCACGGTTTGATTCCGGTTCAGGGAACATGCCTGAGTGGTGGGCTCAATCCCCAGTGTGGGGTGTGCAGGAGGCAGCCGATTGATGATGTTTTTGTGTGTGTGTGTGTGTGTGTGTGTGTGTGTGTGTGTTTTAAAAAAATATTTTTTATTGCTTTAGAGATGAAGGGAGAGAGAGAGTAAAAAATATATATAGAGAGAAACATCAATGATGAGAGAGAACCATTGATCGGCTGCCTCCTGCACACCCCACACTGGGGTTCAAGCCTACAACCTGGGCATGTGCCCTGACCCGAAATAGAACCTTGACCTCCTGGCTCATAGGTTGATGCTCAAACACTGAGCCATGTGCCGCTGGGCTGATGATGCTTCTCTCTCCTTGATGTTTCTACCTCTCTAACCCTCTCTCTTCCTCTCTCTCTCAAAATCAATCAAAACATATTTTTTTTTTAAAAAGGCCCAAGCAGCAGAGTTGCAGGAGCCTTCGGTTAACAACCTGGGCAGAAGGGATGCAGGCAGGCAACCACGAAATCTGCAATGGAGTTGGCCCTTCTGGGTCCTTCTGAGTGAGGCTCAAACAGTGCTCTGACCACCAGACAACCATGAATGGAAACTTTATTGCTCCAACACTTTACATGAATGTCACCAACACCTCGTTGGGCAAATATATAAAAAGCACACTCATCTCAACTTCTCCACTAACGCACTGTACAGACGCTTCCCAGGCCGCACCCCAGCACGCCGGGTGCCCTTCAAGGGCAGCAGCTGCACTTGCTGGAGCCTCCTTTGCAGATGCAGCCCTGGGCACACTTGGCACAGCCCGGGGGGCAGCAGGCGCAGCAGCCTGGAAGGGTCGGGAGATGGACAGATCAGCTTGTGGTCCGCACTGCTCTCTTACCACCTCCCCTCCCACCGCTCAGAGGAAGTGGGAAGAGCCTGCCATGGGCTTCAATCCGCAGTCACAAAACCCTGGGAGCGGACGTTGTGGGCTGTTGGAGCTGGAAGGAATCTCAGAGGCCATGCGGAGTCCATCAGAGGCCCAGAGTGAGGGGGGGGGAGGGCAGGGTTTGCCCAAGGGTATTGGACAGTGGCTGATCCGGGACCAAACCCCAGAGCTGCTGACTCCAGGCCAGTGCTCTTTCCCCATCTCCGCTGGGCAGGCTGGAACCTCCCCGCAGTCCTCCCAAGTGGGCAAAAGGCACCCAGATCCCGCTCCCTCCCACCATGGCTGGGGGTTGCGGATGGAGGGAACAGAGTTTCCTAGTGCCTGGCCCTCGGTGCCCCAGTCGCCGGACTCACTTTTTCGACATGTTTTACAGTTGCAAGTTGTGCATTTGCAGTTGTCTCCACAGATGCATATTCCTCCTGGAAGAGAGGACAGAGCACAAACGTGAGGACCAAGGCGGGCGGGGCACACAGGGTGCACTGCAGAGCGCCCCGGGGCAGGGTCTCCGGGCCGTCGCTGGGCCATGCTGGGCAAGAGGGGAAGATGCTGCCCAGCATCATTCCAAGCGGCGAGGACCACCCAGTGGTTCCCAGTCACAGGCCACGCACGGAAACCCCGGTGGCTGCTCAGTAACCCCCAGGACCCTCGTTAACATGCAGATTCCTGGGACCAACCTTTGAGATGTTCTGATTCAAAGATCTTGGTGGGGAAAGGGAGCCAGTATATATACTTTAAATATTTTTATTGATTTCAGAGAGGAGGGGAGAGGAAGAGAGAGAGAGAAACATCAATGATGAGAGAGTATCATTGATCGGCTGCCTCCTGCACACCCCCTCCCCGAGATTGAGCCCACAGCCCTTGACCGGAATCTAACCTGGGATCCTTCAGTCCACACGCTGATGCTCTATCCACTGAGCCAAACCGCTGGGGCAGTATTTTTATTTTTATTTTTTTAAAATATATTTGTAGCCGAAACCGGTTTGGCTCAGGAGATAGAACGTCGGCCTGCGGACTGAAGGGTCCCGGGTTCGATTCCGGTCAAGGGCATGTACCTGGGTTGCAGGCACATCCCCAGTAGGAGATGTGCAGGAGGCAGCTGATTGATGTTTCTCTCTCATCGATGTTTCTAACTCTCTATCTCTCTCCCTTCCTCTCTGTAAAAAATCAATGAAATATATTAAAAAAAATATATATATATATTTGTATTGATTTCAGAGAGGAAGGAAGAGGGAGAGACAGAAACATCAATAAGAGAGAATCATTGATTGACTGCCTCCTGCATGCCCCCTACTGGGGATTGAGCATGCAACTAGGGCAGTGGTTGGCAAACTGCGGCTCGAGAGCCACACGCAGCTCTTTGGCCCCTTGAGTGTGGCTCTTGAACAAAATACCGACTTCTGCGCATGTGCCACAAAGTTTCAATCGCACTGTACGTGCGCGCCCCGCACGTGGTATTTTGTGGAAGAGCCACACTCAAGGGGCCAAAGAGCCGCATGTGGCTCGCGAGCCGCAGTTTGCCGACCACTGAACTAGAGCATGGTACCCTGACCAGGAATCGAACTGTGACCTCCTGGTTCATAGGTTGACAGTCAATCACTGAGCCACGCAGACCCGGCGGGAGTCAGTATTTTAAAAAAGCAACACAGCCAAAACCGGTTTGGCTCAGTGGATAGAGCGTCGGCCTGCGGACCGAAGGGTCCCAGGTTCGATTCCGGTCAAGGGCATGTACTTGGGTTGCAGGCACATCCCCAGTGGGAGATGTGCAGGAGGCAGCTGATCGATGTTTCTCTCTCATCGATGTTTCTAACTCTCTATCTCTCTCCCTTCCTCTCTGTAAAAAATCAATAAAATATATTTAAAAAAAAAATAAAAAAGCAACACAGATGATTCTACTGTAGAATCCAGTTTGAGAACCACTGGGCTAGTCCGTCTCCACCAAGTCCAAGTTCCCACAGGAACCGTTGAGGAAATTGAGACCTGGAGATACTAAGTGTCAGAAATGATTGCAGCAACGGACCAAAACCAGGTTTCCAGGATCTGGGCTGGAGCTCGTCCCCTGTCCTGGTGGCTGCCTGTAGGGGCCTGCTGCTAGGTCCCCCCCACAGTCATTCCAGAGCCAGGCTATCAATCCTAGCAAATGAAGCTGGTAGCCAACAGAGGGTGGGGGCTGCCCAGAGGACCCCAGTCTGAAACAAACACCACTGGCGGCTCCTACCTGCAGGAAGGAAGCCTGAACCAGACACCTGCAGGCTCTGCAGGCTCCCTGGGGGAAGCTGGGGCACAGTCCCAAAGCCCGAGGGTGGGCATCCTTTTAAAAATGTCTATTTGTATTGATTTCAGAGAGGAAGGGAGGAGAGAGAGAAACATCAGTGCTGAGAGAGAATCATGGATCGGCTGCCTCCTGCACGCCCCACACTGGGGACAGAGCCTGCAACCCTGGGCATGTGCCCTGACCGGGAATCAAACCGTGACCTCCTGGTTCATAGGTCGACGCTCAACCACTGAGCCACGCCAGCCGGGCCAGGGCTGACATCCTTACTCACCAGACAAGCAGGAGCACTCTCCAGGGTCCATGGTCCAGGTGTCCGAGGGGCTCGGGTGTGTCTGTGATGGAGAAAGGAGGTGAGTGAGCAGCCGCTGGAGGCTGCTATTTATAGCCGAGTAGCTGCTGGTGTAGGTTCGCCCCACCTCCCCCTGGGGCCAGACGCTTTGCATGCAGCTGAGCCAGACACCCCAGGCGAGGGGTTGGGGAGAGCAGTACAGTCATCCAGGCGGCTTTTTATCACTGGGGATGCAGGTGACTGCCCCCTTCCCACATGCCCACCTGCCAAGGTGTCAGGGATCCAGGCTCAGGCTCAATGGCACTTGGGGGCTCAGGTTGGCAGCTACATCCACCCAGTGTCCCTGTCCTGTGCATACTATTATCGGCCCTTTCTGCTTCCTCCTTCACAGGGGCTGCTCCTGCCCTGGCTCAGGGTCATTTTCTGGCTCCCTGGTTGGGCAGAAGGGGCTGGGTCCTAGTTCTGGGCTTTAGAAGGCCTCACTCGGGCCTTCTTCTGGACGTGACTCCCAGTCCCCATGGGTGAGAAGGCCAAGAGTCAGGGGCATGTGCCACCTGGAGCCCGCACCCTGTCTGACCTCAGTTTACTCATCTGCAGTCAAGCTAATGAAAAGGAGAGCCCTACAGCCCTGGCCCCGTTGTGTGGCTTAAATGAGAGAATGCCTATTAAGGACTCAGTTCAGAACCTGGCACATAAATATTATTAGTATTATTAGTATTATTATTGTCATTACCTGTGCCTATTATAACTTGGCAGCCACCCACCCATCTGTACGTTTCAGGCTCATGGGCCAGCCCTGGGGTCCTGAGCAGGGTGCATTCATCAGCAGTAAATATTGGGGAGAGTTGTCATCTCTAGGGTCCCTGCTTCTAAGCTCCACTTAATTCTTTTTTGGGGTCCCCAGTTCTGGGGGCCACGGGGCCCTGACTCCGCTTGCTGCAGTTTCCATGTTTGGAGACAAAGTTGACCTTCCACCTACAGAGCCCTCTCATGGGGGTTTTTGTGGCCTCCTCCGTAAGACTAGGCACGAGAGGCGGGTGGACAAAATCAGAGCAGGCAGGGACCCTTGGATCCTGCATGGTCAGCATTAGAGGAACCCTGAGAAGCCATGGGCCAGGCCCTGGTTGTTCAAATGGGGAAACAGAGGCCCAGGGAGACAGTCGATCCCCCGTCACTGGGCATAGTGGTGCCAGGGGCATTTGGACCTGGCTCCTCAGTTCATTGCAACACCCACGCTTTAGGTGTAAGGCACTCCTGACAAAACTGTTCGGCAGTTTGGAGCCTTGTGGCATTCAGTTACTTTATTATTAAAAAGTTCAAACATACTCAAAGCACCAAGAACAGTGTTACAAACACCACTGTGTCTGCAACCCAGAATTAATAGATGTCAACGCCGTCATATTTGCTTCGACTCTTATTTATAAGAAATAAAAACTTAGCAGGCGCAAGGCTTTAAATGTTGTCTGTGTGTTGGGGCTCCCAATTTACATCTCCAGGTGGCCTCTCTTTTGAACTCCAGATCCAAGTTCCACACGGATGCCAAACAGCATCTCACACGTGACATAGCCCCAACCAAGCTCCCGCTCTCAGCCTCCGCTCCAACCAGGCCCTCCCACAGTCTGCTGCCTCCATTGCCCCCTGGTTTGAGCCAGCATCATCTCCCACGCAGATTCAGCACTCATTTCCTAAGCGGCCCCCTGTGTCTGCCCTTGACCTAGACCAGTGGTCGGCAAACTGCAGCTCGCGAGCCACATGCGGCTCTTTGGCCCCTTGAGAGTGGCTCTTCCATAAAATACCGACTTCTGCGCATGGGCCACAAAGTTTCAATCGCACTGTTCATGCGCGCTCTCACGTGGTATTTTGTGGAAGAGCCACACTCAAGGGGCCAAAGAGCCGCATGTGGCTCGCGAGCCGCAGTTTGCCGACCACTGACCTAGACCCTTATGCCACATTGTCTTTATTATAAAACTGCTGCAAGGAACATCCCTGTTCATATCATGTACCTGAGTGTACAAGGCTCACTCATCCTTAGAAGGAGGATGGCGAGGGTGTAGGGAAACAATTGCTCTCCAAAGATCCTATCCTAATTTTCATTCCCTCTAGCAATTTCTGAGAGTCGCCGTTTCCCTACCTCCTCCTCCAATACTTCCTATAGTCAGACTTTGAAATGTTTGCCCATTTGGTAAGTGTAAAGAAGTGCAATGTATCTCACTGAGTATGATTTGCATGTCCCTGCCTCCCACCATCCATTAACCCCCAGAGTGTGAGCCATGGGCTAGTCGTCCTCACATGGACTGTGGGTGTCTCATCAGCCTTTCACACTCTAGCAAGAGAGAGCACAGTGAGGATCATGGGCTGCGGTTCTTCGCACAGGGTTCTAATCCTGGCTCCTCCATCTGCTGCTGGACAATCTCAGACAAGTTTTTTTTTTTTAATATTTCAGAGAGAAAGGGAGAGGGAGAGAGAGATAGAAACATCAATGATGAGAGAGAATCATTGGTTGGCTGCCTCCTGCACACCCCACACTGGGGATGGAGCCTGCAACCTGGGCATGTGCCCTGATGGGGAATGGAACCATGACCTCTTGGTTTCTGGGTCGATGTTCAACCGCTGAGCCTCGCCAGCGCGCTCATCTTTAGAAGGGAGATGATCGTGAGCAGGACAGGAGATACTAGGGTAGAAAGCTCAGAGGAAAAGTAAGAAGCCATAAAGAGCACAAAAGACAACAAATCTTCTTTGTCTCAAATCTGTCCATGGCCTGGCCTGGAAGAGCATAGAGGGCACAGACCCCCAGACCCTGGTGGGTTGGGCTTTGGGGTGAGAGGCTGGTTGAGAAGAGTAGGAGCAGCCCCCCCCCCCCACCTTTCCCATGCACTATTCACTCCTCCCCTGCTGGGCTAAAGGGGTGCTTGCCTCTTCGTGGTCCCAGTTCTGACAGCTGTGCTGAAGGAGTTTCAACAATCTTACCATCAAGAAGAGCTGCTGTGGGTTTTGATAAGCTGTAAAGCTTTTCACATTTCCTTCATATATATATTTTTCTAGAGATCTGTCCCATCAGCTAAGGCAGTGGTTCTCAACCTTCTGGCCCTTTAAATACAGTTCCTCAGGTTGTGACCCAACCATAAAATTATTTTCGTTGCTACTTCATCACTGTAATGTTGCTACTGTTATGAATCGTCATGTAACTATCTGATAAGCAGGATGGTCTTAGGCGACCCCTGTGAAAGGGTTGTTCGACCGCCAAAGGGGTTGCGACCCACAGGTTGAGAACCGCTGACTAAGGTAACAATGTATGTGTCTGTGTGTGTACACATGAGAATGACAGAGAGAGAGAGAGAGAGAGAGAGAGAGAGAGAGGCATGCCAGGGAGGTTGGGGCTGTTCTTTCTCAGAATAGCTCTAAGAAAGCACCCCAGCAACCTAAATACACACACACACACACACACACACACACAACACACACACACAACACACACACACACACACACACACACACACACGATTCTGCGTTTCTGACGTCCAATCCCACTCAGGAGCCCTGGCAAAGGACCCCACAGCCTCCCAGGGGGCGGGCGGGCTGTGAAAAGCAGGCCACGGCTAAATGAAGAGCCACTTTGGGGAGCCCAGTCAGTCACCTGTGCAGGCGGCAGGCTTCACAGACTCTCCAGGGCTGGCGGCTGCCGGTTAATTAAAAGGGACTCCAGCCCCACCACTGTCATTCAGCACCCAGGGCGCAAGTGAAACCTCCGCCTTGCAGCTTTGCACCCGGCCCGGAGGAACGATGAGTAAGGCCGCAGCAGCCAGCGGCTGGCCCAGGTTGGCTGGCAGCCCAGGTTAGGGCTTTGGAGAGGGGGAAGGAGGCGCAAGTTCACCTTTTTTCCCTTCTTTTCTCCCCCCACCCCCCTACTGCTCTCTTACTCTCTCTCTGTCTCTCTCCCCTTTCATCAATCATTCAGCAACATATTCAGGGCTGCCTGTGTGCTAGGCTTCAGGTCAGCCCTCACACACAGGGCCTGGGCCTCAGGAGCTTGATGCCCAGCGGAGGCGATGAGCGTGCCCACAGCTGTCAGAGAAGGAGGAAGCAGCGGCTTCTGTGAGGACGCACGGGTGCAGGGTGGCACTCGAAGGACACTGGGAGTGGGGACCTGTCTACGTGTTGAGCCCTAGGTGCCTCACTCGCCTCTCCCTAGTCTCGGCCTTCCCTCCTCCCTCCTTCCCTCCCAGTCTAGGGCACTCTGGCTTCCTCAGGGCGTGTGGGGTGCGCGCTCAGAGCCCTGGGCTTCACGGAGGTGCTTGCAGGAGCTGCTGCAGATGGGAGGTTAGGCCACACGCCTCCCCAGTGGGAGCAGGTGCTGGGGCAGCCCGGAGCCGCATCCTCAGCCTGAGCCCACGGGGATGGTCAAGTCGGCAAGGCTGGTCTTGGGTCCCTGCACTCGGTCCCCTTTACTTAGAAACCCTCCCTCTGACGGCAGTGGGTTCAGAGCCAGGAGTTCTGGAACCGACGTAATTCTAGATCAGGGGTGGGCAAACTTTTTGACTCGAGGGCCACAATGGGTTCTTAAACTGGACCGGAGGGCCGGAACAAAAGCATGGATGGAGTGTTTGTGTGAACTAATATAAATTCAAAGTAAACATCATTACATAAAAGGGCACGGTCTTTTTTTTTTTTTAGTTTTATTCATTTCAAACGGGCCGAATCCGGCCCGCGGGCCATAGTTTGCCCACGGCTGCTCTAGATGCCAGAGCTGTCAGGGCAATAGTGGTCCACACCGCCTCTCAGTCCCAACCCCAACTGCAGGTTGGAAGCGTGAGGCCGAGAGGGAGAGTCCTTGCCTGTGGTCCCACCGCCAGTGCGGGCCGCTGGCTGAGGCGAGGGACTGAGGAGGAGCACCTCCCAGGGCCTGGGCAACCTCCTGGGTGACTGCAGAGTGTGCCCATTTGCAGAGCCGGCGGCTTGGATGAAGCAACCGCTGAGGGCCCCACACGATGCCACACACGTCACGGGGTGGGGTTGGGGGGGCGGTTCCTGAGAAGAAGGAGGTTTTACGGTGTCATTGGGATGCCGAGACGCGCAGAGAAGAAACCACTGGCGAGAATCGCAGAACCGCATGCTCTGATGATGACATAAACTAGGGGCCTCGTGTACATGTCTCTGTCTCTTCTCTCACTCTCTGTCCCTTCTCCTTCTGCTTTTCTTTTAAAAAAAATATATTTTTAAATTGATTTCCGAGAGGAAGGGAGAGGGAGAGAGAGATAGAAACATCAATGATGAGAGAGAATCATTGATCAGTTGCCTCCTGCATGACCCACACTGGGGATTGAGCCCGAAACCTGGGCATGTGCCCTGACTGGGAATTAAATCATGACCTCCTGGTTCATAGGTCACTCTCAACCACTGAGCCACACAGGCCGGGCAAGACAGTGGTTTTTAAGCTGGTTAGGACAGTGGTTCTCAACCTTCCTAATGCCTCGACCCTTTAATACAGTTCCTCATGTGGTGGTGACCCCCAATTTCATTGTTACAAATTGAACATAATGAAAGCATAGTGATGAATCACAAAAACAATATGTAATTCTATATGTGTTTTCTGATGGTCTTAGGCGACCCCTGTGAAAGGGTCGTTCGACCCCCAAAGGGGTCTCGACCCACAGGTTGAGAACCACTGGGTTAGGAAGTGCCTAGCTCTAAGGTTTCTAAGGCAGTGCCCTCAGCCACCGTCCCCAAAGTGCAGTTGGTATCTAACCATTGGGATCAAAGCATGTTTCCGAGAAACTTCACTAATTGTTCATCGTCTGCGGGCACTTTTGGGTCTTGCCTTTCCTCCAAAGATGCGAGAACGATTTCAGCCGCCTGGGGCCCTGTAGCCCCCGGCACTGCTCTCCCAACAGTGGGCTGGCCAGACCTCTAACGTGTCCTCCAGGTCGGAATCCTGGGGGTCTGAGGACTCCTGTGGAAGCAGGTCCCTCAGGTCCAGGGACCAAGAGGCCTTCCCCACCTGTGCGGGATTTCACTCATAACTCCGAACCATAGGGCACGAGTATTTTAATTTGTTGATTTCTCCAGCATAAATCCACAGCTCTTTGCAAATAATCGGATCATCCCCAATCCACGTTAGGGGGGAAAACAAAGACGACAGTGTGAGGGCTTTTTAGAAGGGGAATGATTGTCCTCTGCTGTCATTTCCTGCGTTGTAAAGGGGTGGATGGCAGGGTTCAGTGCCCCCCTCAGCATCTGTGGGGGTTATTGACCTAAGGTCTGTGAGCAGCTCGGGTCTGGGAAGCCCAGTGTGAGAACCAGGAGGGGTGGCCACGACCCCCCGGCTGGGCATGGACGCCTGAGTGTGCTAGAATTCCTGGGCCAACTTCAGGTCTGCATGAGCCTTGGATGGACACAGATTTAGTCCACCACTGCTTTGATCCTTCCCCCTGCCCCCCCCTCCCCCAACACACACACACACAAACTCTCTCTCTCTCTCTCTCTCTCTCTCTCTCTCTGGGCAAGCCATTTGACCTTGGTTTCCCTGCCAATAAAATGAGGTTAATAACATACTCTCCTAAGGGTGCCTCTTAAGAATAATTGCCCATTTCTTGCTGGGCGCTTTGAAGAAAATCGCTCTGAAGATGTTCTGCTGGCTCTGGAATTTTCTTTGGTGCAAATATCAAACAGAGGAGAACGGCCCAAGTTCTGATTCTGGCCTTCCCCACTGAACCATTGCCCCCAGTTCAGTTGGAAGAGAGGAAGGCCTGGGAGGGGCTGTGATGAGAGCCTGGGCCTGCCTGGAATGTTAAAGGCACAGCCCAGCCTTTGATGCTCGCCTGCAACGCTTGTTAATTTTAATAGGAAGCGAGCCGAGGCGGGCAGGGTCTGCCTGGCAGAAGAAAACAGGTGGAGGCCAAAAGGGATCGGTGCCGACTCAATTTGGAGCTTGTTTGGCTTTGAAGTCCTTGGCCTCAGTGCCGGAGTCACAAGACATCTTGTAGTGTCAGGAGGGTAAGTGCGGACGGACGTCTGGGGCAAGTATGGAGCTTGGGCTCCTCTGTTCCCAGCTCAGCCAGGAGCAGATGGCTCCCGTCTCAATTCAGGAATCACTTTAGCGTCAATACTCCCCCGAGCTGGTGAATTTCCAGGGAAACGTCAAATAGGGGGCTCAAATGTAAGTGATCTAGGGGCTAGGTCAGTGGTCGGCAAACTCATTAGTCAACAGAGCCAAATATCAACAGTACAACGACTGAAATTTCTTTTGAGGGCCAAATTTTTTAAACTTAAACTATATAGGTAGGTACATTGTGATTAACTTAATTAGGGGTCTCCTAAGCTGGCCTTTGCTAAAAAAGTCCTCAATCTGATTGAGGTACGTTCGCTGAGGTCGACCCCTTCCAACTCTCCCATCCACACTCGTCTTGTATACTTGTTTCGTCTATCTCCTTTCATTCATCCTCTCTATATGTCCAAACCATCTCAACATACCTTTCTCAATCCTCGACACTACATCTTCTTTCACTCCACAACATTCCCTAAAATTAATAAACTTTACTTAAAGTTTTAAGTCAACTTCGCACTGTACGTGCGCGCCCGCACGTGGTATTTTGTGGAAGAGCCACACTCAAGGGGCCAAAGAGCCTCATGTGGCTCGCGAGCTGAGGTTTGCTGACCACTGGGCTAGGGAGTTAATGTGTAAGAGTGAGGTCAGTTGACGGCAGGTAATAGGGAATGGTGGGGACTGTGGCGAAGTGACTAAGCTCCAATGGAATATTGAGATTTGGGAACGAGGGTCAAATTTTGTCAGCTCTTCCGATGGTATAAGAGACATTTAAAACCTGGATCGTGTGTGTGTGTGTGTGTGTGTGTGTGTGAACTATTCCAATTTTGCACACTGATAAGAGTCGTTTATTTGTTTATCATGTTTCAATGATCTCCCCGTGAACAACGCATGCATCCATAGGCCAAACAGGTCCACGGGGTCCTGCTTTGTGACCTCCGTTTTAGAATCCTAAATCTTCAGGATGCAGGCTCTTAAAACTCACCGAGGCCTTTGGTTACTATTTTCTAGAGTTTGCAGACCGATCCCTGGTTGAGGGCATCAGACTCACCCAGTGAGAGCTTTTGAAAACCACCGTTTTGTAGGGATTCTGACTCCGTGCCCTTGGAGTGGGACCTGGGAAGGGTTACTGTATTTTCTGACTCCTCGGATGACTCTGATGCGCAGCCAGGTTTGGAAAGCGGTGACCTCACCGGTTCCTCTCAGTGATTTTTAATCTTTTGGAGTCATAAACCCTTTCGAGAAGCTGAAGAAAGTTACCCACACTTTCCCTGGGGTGGGGGTGGGGGGGGTGGGGGGAGATGCTCATTCAGAAAATATTTTGCAAACAATGTCAGGGGGCCCGAGTCCCCTCCCTCTGACGGGCAACCTCGGCCACCAAACCTTGGAAGTCCCCGATGACAGGAGCCGTGAGAATGGAATGGCCCTGGGGTCCCACTTGCCCTCCTGCAGTGACAGGGAGCTCATCACCTTGGGACAGCCTATCCCTCTTGGGGGAACGGTTATCTCAATAAAGTCTGTGTGTGTGTGTGTGTGTGTGTGTGTGTGTAGTGGGCTGCCTCTTTCCATTCGCGGCCTTCTCCCCCTCCTGTAGCTTTCAGCCACAAGTCCCAGATATGTGACATGAGCAATAACTACAGATATGTTGAGGGGGACCCGATTTAGAGAGGGGGTTACCCTTCAACTGAGGTTTGTGGGGGGAAGGGTATTCCAGGCAGAGAGAACAGCATAAGTCAGGGCCCCGTGGCCGGGAAAATAAAATCACTCCTCTCAATTCAGCACTCGCACAGAGCTGGGTCACGGGAGCTCTGAGGAGGAGCCGAGGCTGGGCTCTGCATGTGTTTGCATATTAATGAGGCAAGGCCAGGGGCTAATTAACAAGGGCCTGACCTCCTGGGTTCTTAGGCTGCCGCCTGCTGCTCTCCAAGTCTTTCTCTTTCAGAGAACCTTGAGCTGGTGCCTGGGCCCCATGCACACAATAGGGCCTTTCAGGACCTCCTTTGAATGAAGTGTCCTGTTCCCACCACAGTTTTTAAGATGCGGGAACAAAGCAGAAACTCAGAAGGACTAAGAAGTTTTGTTCCTCGGGGGTGGGCAGGCCAGCGCGCTGCCAAGTCCCAGGACCAGCCTGCCGGGGTTGGAGAGCCGGCCACTGCCCTGGGCCTGGGCTGAGTCATGGTCCCAGCACCCGGGCTAAATTATCGCCCTTGGTTTACAGCTAGAAATCCCGAAAGGAGGCTCGGGTCATTGGTCACGGCTGTGGTCCCGAGGCACCAGGACAGACAGATCGCCCTCTTCATCCCCTACAGGGGCCAGAGAGGGATCAGCGTGGGATTAATGGCGTGGGTTTCCCAGGGGGAGGGCTGGGTCTCTGGTAGAATATTTAGATCATTCATATCAGTGCAGGAAGGGACGACCAAGAAAAAAATAACACCGATTGCTCTTACAGCAAGTGATAGATACTCATCTACACTATGGTCAGAGAAATGCAAATGAAAACTGCAACCAGATATCATTTCTTAAATGTCTATCTGATTGGCAGAGATCCGGAATGTGCCGTGTGCTGCTTGGGGAGGTGGGGGAGGTGGGGAGAGACGGGATCTGACAGGGATGGTGACACACACAGTGGCCCCAGGACACAGACGGCCTATGTGCTGGCAGGAAACAACGCTGCCGCTGGGAAACTATCCTATTCATTTACCCCAGGACGTGGGTGCAACTCACGGTGATCCTGCTTGTAAAGCATTGGGAAGGGACCGAATGTTCAGGAATCATGAGGCGTCGATGCTTTGGAATTCCAGGCAGCCCCGGAGAACAGCAGGCAGCTCTGCACGTCCTGGTGGGGAAGGAAGGAGAAGATGGAGAAGATACAATGTTAACCGAGGGGAGCGAAGTGCAGCATCGTGAGATGCAGGGGGCCACTGTTCAAGGGGGAAAAGCGGGGGGAAGCTGCCTAGTCACACATGTTTGTATACGAACAGAATCGGCTTGCAAGGAGACTAAGAAACACGTAACAGTGGTTGCCTCTGAGGGGGGACTAGGGAGCCCGGGTCAGCTCAGCTGGGAGGGACTTATAGTGTATGTTTTTGTGTTTTTTAAAGCATTTGAATTATGTTTGTCCTATGCTTGTATTTCTTTTACAAAGGAAAAGGAAAGAGGGAAGGAAGGAAGGAAGGAAGGAAGGAAGGAAGGAAGGAAGGAAGGAAGGAAGGAAGGTCACTCAAAAGCCCTGCGAAGTAGTCCCCCATTTCACAGATGCTGCCACTGAGGCAGGCAGAGGTGAGCTAAGTGACTTGCTTGCCAAAAAAGGGCAGAGCCTGGATTCTAACCCAGACCGACTGGCTTGGTCTGTGCATTTTACCACCTTAGAGCTGCGAGGAACCTGGGGGTGGGGAAACTGAGGCCCAGAGAAAGAAAAGGGAGTTACCTGAGGTCATGGAAAGAGGAAGCGTGGGATTAGTGAATCCTGGACTCAGCCGGGAGACGTGTGCTCTAGCCCCAGGGCCCCAAAAAGAAAGAGGCTTCTAGATAATGCGCAGAAAAACTCTGTTTTTGTTGTATTCACAGTTTTAATGGACTTCAAGGCATCTTAGAAAGAAGGGCAACTAGTACATGGAGTTTATAATTTCACAAAGGTTCCTGCTTAGGATGAACAAGCCTGAAGTGAGCCAATGTACTGGGAAGACAGCAGAGGAAGTTATGGTGGAAGGCGGGGGAGAGTGGGTCAAGGAAGACGGCAGTTGGGCAGCTCTGCTCCCCAATGGTGGCCACCTGGGGTGTGGGGAAGCACGGGACTTGGTTGGAAGGTTTGTAGGAGGATTCTCTGCAAGGTTGGGGGTTTCTGGGGGGACCTTGTCGAAGGCGGCAGTCCCTACCTTGACTTTTCCAAACAAGTCCGATCCCCCAGGGTGTTTTGCTAGAATCTCTATGTTTAGTCTTTAAAGACCCGGCCTTGTAGAAGCATGTACTTTTTCAGGGATGCTTATCCTGCTAATTGTATCTAGAGCTTAATTTTAGTTCAAGCTGTTATGACACTAAAAGCCAAAGGGGGCAGGTGAACAGGGCTACTTGGCAGCAATAGCCAAGTAGTGCCTTAGCCCACTCTTTCGCAGAAACGGGTGTTAGAGTCATCATTCATCCGTCACTCAGGATCCACGGGTCAGCCCGGCGCTGGGGCCAGAGGAGGACGTTTTTGAAATGTGTGGAATCTCAGCCTCCTCACTCATGGCTCCTCTGCCCAGGAATTCCTACCCTGTCCTTACATTGTCATCCCACAACCCTCTCTGCCTCCCTGTCTGCCACTGTGGGAACCAGCACTTTTTATGGGCAATGGCATCTTCAAAGTGTTTTGGCTTCTTAATTAGCCGCCTTTCACACCCAGCTGACTAGAGTTCCCAGACATTCCCAAGGGAGGAGGGCTGCTGGGGTCAGCATCCGAATGCCTTGGCGGCTCTGAGTTCTAGACCAACCTGGGAGAGGGTCCTGGTCTCACCGCTGAAATGCAGCTTATGTAATACCACAGGCCCGGTGCACAAATTCATGCACCAGTGGGGTCCCTCAGCCTGGCCTGCGGGATCGGGCCGAAACCGGCTCTCTGACATCCCCCGAGGGGTCCCGGATTGTGAGAGGGTGCAGGCCAGGCCAAGGGACCCCACCGGTGCATGATTGGGGCCGGGGAGGGCCACAGGAGGTTGGCCAGCCAGGGAGGTGCCGAGGGAGGGCTCCAGGGCATGTCTGGCCTGTCTCACTCAGTCCCGATTGGCCAGACCCCAGCAGCAAGCTAACCTACCAGTTGGAGCCTCTGCACCTGGTGGTCAGTGCACGTCATAACAATTGAGCGGCCTTAGCATATCATTAGCAGTTTACACTTTGATTGCTTGAACGGATGACTGGAAGACCAGACACTTAGCATATTAGGCTTTTATAATATAGGATATATACATATGGAGCTTTGGGAACCTCAATCGTTTTCATCTGTGAAATGGAGGGGCTAATAGGGTTGTTGGGAAGACTCAACATATGAAGTGGCTGGTGCAGGACCACTGCTCCATACATGCTGGTCCCCTTCACACTCAGATGTCACCTCCTCCACACGGCTTCACTCCTCACCATCCCTCCTCTACCCTTCAGGACATTCAGTGTTTCTCCCTTTTAACGCTGATCAGTTCTCTGTCTTGCATTAGGGTGAATGGTGTCCCTGTTGTAGTCATTAACTCCTTGAAGTTGGGGCTTATGTCTAAGGCATCATCGCATCTTTCTCGCTAGGAAGCTCAGGGCCTGGCGTGAAACTCATTAAATGTTTGCATGCCCAGAGGCCTGCAGCCCCGCTCTGTGGGCGAAGACCGGTTCTCTCAGTCATTAGCTCCATGATCTTAGGCACGTTACTGACCTTGCCTGGAAGGCCTGACCTGTAAAATGGGAATAATTAATAATGGCACCTACATCACAGGGTTGTTGTGAGGATTAAATAAGTTAATGTGCTTAGAACAGTAGCTGTCGCAAGGCAAGAGCTTTATAGCTGTTGGCTATTCTTACGTTTTAGCTATTGTGATTAATTCTGCTATGAATATTGGGGTACAAGATATCTGCAATGAACATGGAGGTGCAGATATCGCTTCAAGACAGTGATTTTATGTCCTCTGGATACATACCCACAGTGGACTTGCTGGATCCTTGGGTAGTTCTATGTTTAATTATTTTATCTGTGTATGGAATCTTTTTAAAATATATATATTTTACTTTTATTGATTTCAGAGAGGAAGGGAGAGGGAGAGAGAGAAACATCAGTGATGAGAGAGAATCATCAAGCAGCTGCCTCTACGAGGGAGGAGCTCCAACCGGGGCATGTGCCCTGATCAGGAATACAACCGTGACCTCCTGGATCGATGCTAAACCACAGAGCCACTCCGGTTGGGCTCTATGTTTAATTTTGGAAGAACCATCATCCTGTTTATCACAGTGGCTGTGTCATTTGCATTCCCACCAACAGTGCACACCAATTTCTCCATATCTTTGTGTGTATGCTTTCTTACCTTTTAATTTGGTTCATATCAAAGTATTACCTATTCAAATAATAAATTACATATACATTTTTAAAAAATATATATATATTTTTAAATATATTCTATTGATTTTTTACAGAGAGGAAGGGAGAGGGATAGAAAGTCAGAAACATCGATGAGAGAGAAACATCAATCAGCTGCCTCCTGCACACTCCCCACTGGGGATGTGCCCGAAACCAAGGTACATGCCCTTGCCCGGAATCGAACCTAGGACCCGTCAGTCCGCAGGCTGACGCTCTATCCACTGAGCCAAACCGGTTAGGGCTAAAATATATTTTTATTGATTTCAGAGAGAGGAAAGGAGAGGGAGAGAGAGAAACATCAATGAGAGAGAATCATCCATCGGCTGCTTCCTGCACGCCCCCTACTGGGGATGGAGCCCACAACCCAGTTGTGAGCCCTGACCAAGAATCCAACTGTGACCTCCGGGTTCATAGGTCAATGCTCAACCACTGAGCCATGGCACCAGGCAATAAATTACATATTTTTAAAAAGACCTGCTGTGTTAAAGAGGTGAGGGTGGGTGAGTGAAGGAACAGGACAAGGATAAGACAAATAGTGGCCCAGGTTGGTGATCTGTCTGGCCCCTTCCTGCTTGGAAAGGCCAGGACTGTAGTAGAAACGGAACTTGGAGTCTCCTTGGGCCTACTCTGCCCCTTGGAGATGCTCAATCTGCCCAGCTGCATGCTGCTTTCAGCTACAGGAGTTCATTCGAAGGTGGAAAAACTCAAGCCTCCCAGAGCGGTGTGCCAGAGGTGGCTTCCCGCCCAAAGAGGTGGTTACGAATGCTGAGTCAAGCCTCAGCCAGCGTCTGATGCTGCCCACGCCCAGGTATGGCTCCAGGGCACTATAAGGAGCACACACCTAGGAAACTGGAATGCACTCCCGCCATCAGCTTTGATCTGAACCCTGGGAGCGCGCTGGGCCAGGAGCCGGTCCCTCTGCTCCTGGGATGCAGGGCTGACCCCATCCCACTGTAGCCTCTTCTAATTTCAAAAGCATCCGAAGGCTCTTGGGTCTGCCTTGCCTTGGCAGGGCCAACAGGTCATTGTGGGCACAGCTCTGGTCACATCTTCCCATCAATGCCCCTGTGGGTTTGGCAGGGGGAGACCAAGTCAGGAGGAGGCTTGCATCCATCACAACAACAAAGAGATGAAGGAGAGTGTATTTGCGGATTAAACAAAAATCACAACTTATGTAAGTTATATTGGTATTTCAAAATCAGAAGCGTATGCCTGGAGCCAGAGAAGGTTCGGAAGAACTACATCAACAGAAATGAATCAGTGTGTTTCTTTGAGTGAATTGTTTGTCAAGGCTATTGTGTTATTTGAATCCTGTGAGATCATATGTTTTCTCTATTTTCTGAAGAATCTTCAAGTGGAACCTCAGGAGTCTCTGGCTCACCCAGAATCATGAGTCAGGCTCAGAATCCTGCCCAGAATCTCAAGCATGGTCTTGTGGGTGTCCTAGTGCCAAACGAGGAGAAGAAAGAAGTGCCACTCCCCAGTGCTTATCAGTCTAAGCTTATCAGGTCGAACCTTCCTAATGCCGCAACCCTTTAATACAGTTCCTCATGTTGTGGTGACCCCCAACCATAAAATTATTTTTGTTGCTACTTCATAACTGTCATTTTGCTACTGTGATGAATCATAATGTAAATATCTGATATGCAGGATGTATTTTCAGGGGTCGCGACCCACAGGTCGAGAACCGCTGATTTAGAACTTTTTAGCGGGGAGAAGTCAGTAGGCCAACCCTACAGGGTGGGATTGAAACGCAGGGCAACGAGAGGGGCTGGGGGCTCAGGACAGGCCTCTGTGAAGAGGGCAGCCTTGGACCAAGAGATCTGATTGACACGTAGGAGCCAGGCTTATAAAGATCTGGGGGCTCTTTCAGGTGGAGAGAACCATAAAGTGGGGTAGTTGGTCCTGCCAAATGAGTTATTTAAGATGTGACTATTGATTTATTTGAAGAGGCCGATCATTCACTGACCAAATATTTAAAGAGCACCCGCTATGTGCCTGTAACTGTTGAGGGTGCTTGGATGCTGTTAGGCTGGTGGAGGGAGCGAGGGTATTGTGTAACAGTCCTGGTGTCCCACGCCCTGCTGCCCCGCTCTGATCCCTGGGTGAGCGGCTCCTCTTCCTCTTGGTGCTGGCCTGTCTGCTCCCTGCCGAGTGATGGAAGAGGCCTGCCCCAGGATTTGGCCTGCGGTTCTCCAGTGATAGACACATCTCCCTGAGTCTGGCGTTCCGAATTTGGAAGTTAATTGTCCAGCAAATAGAAGTCAGTCTCCATTATCAATGTTTAAAAATATTTTTTTATTTAAAAAAATATTTTTATTGATTTCAGAGAGGAAGGGAGATAGAAACATGAATGATGAGAAAGAATCATTAATTTGCTGCCTCCTGCATGCCCCAACTGGGGATGGAGCCCGAAACAGGGCCATTGGCCTGACCCGGAATCGAACTGTGACCTCCTGGTTCATAGGTCAATGCTCAACCACTGAGCCACAGCAGTCAGGCTTCTTTTTTTAAAAAAATGTTTATTTATTGATTTTAGAGAGAGAAACATTGATTTCTTGTACCACTTATTTATGCATTCATTGTTTGATTCTTGTAGGTGCCCTGACCAGGGACTGAATCTGCAAGCTTGGCTTGTCGGGACAACACTCTAACAACTGAGCTACCTGGCCAGGGCCCACTTCTTCTAATGTTACCATCTTACACAATCATGGTACAAAGAAATTAACACCAGTGCAGCTCTAGCCAGTTTGGCTGTGGACAGAGCATCAGCCTGCAGACCAAAGGGTCCCAGGTTCGATTCCCGTCAAGGGCATGTACCTTGGTTGCAGGCTTCTCTCGGGGCTAGCTCGTGCAGGAGGCAACCAATGGATGTGTTTCTCTCACATTGATGTTTTTCTCTCTGTCTTTCCCTTTCTCTTTCACTCTCCCTAAAAATCAATGGAAATATATCCTCGGGTGAGGATTAACAAAAAAAGAAAAGAAAAGAAATGAACATTGGTGCAGTATTACTAACCAAACTATGAACTTTAATCAGATTTCGCCAGTTCTCTCACGAGCGACCCTTTTCTGTCCCAGATCCCACCAGGGACTGCGTTATTAGCCATGTCTCCTGATCTCTTTCGCTCTGTGCCAGTTCATGATTTTCTCTCATCATTGATGCTTCTATCTCTCTCTCCCTCTCCCTTCCTCTCTGAAATCAATAAAAAAAAATATCTAAAAAAAGAAAGAAAGAATATAGAGAGAGCTCACATACCTTTGCTCAGTTTCTCATAATGCAAAACACCTGCTCCCGCTGGCCGCCAGCCCCAGCCCACTCCCCAGAAATCAACCTTGTGACTGTTGGAGGCTTGTCCAGGGCACCCTCTCACCTTGCTTCCCTCCAGGCCTTTAGTCCAGTGTCCTAAGGTGCTTAACCTCCATTCTTTACACCTGCACACCCTCTAGTGGGGGTGCTTTGCCTACACAAAATGAGAACAAGGAGCCGGAGGGGCAGGCAGCAGGCATGTGCTTAAGTCAGCATCTAAATTCTTGGCCTCACCTGGTTCCCACCAGACCTTGACTGGCTAGGTTGGTCTTTCCCACCCCAGGGCTGAGAGGGAATCTGGAACAATGCTACTGGCTAACAAAAAAAGACAGGAAAGACACCAGATTTATTACAATAGCCACCCTGACAAGTCAAAGGCAGCCTTTTCATCTAGAGGTAATAATAACAACAACCTAGTAATACTAACTTTTTATGGGAGCTCTTATTAAGTGCCAGGCAGAGCTTTAAGTGCTTTATTTATATTAGTTAGTCTAATTCTCACAGCAACACTCCCCAGAAGTTCACTGCAGGACACAGTATGTGCAGAGGTTAGCAGCTCAGGAGACCACCTGGGTTTGCCATCCTGGCCCTGCCACCTACCAGTGCAGCTCTAGCCAGTTTGGGTGGCCTTGGGTTTATGTAATATAACCTCTCATGACTCAGTTTTCTCTCTTGTAAAATGGGTGTGATGACAGGATCTCCCCCCGGGGTGGCTGTGAGGATAGAAGGAGTTAGTGTGTGTCAAGAGTGCGTAGAGAATAAATGTGAGTGACTGATGGATGAGGAATTTGAACCCAGGTCTTTGTGCTGTTGAGGCCTGCGGGCTTACCCAGCACACAGACAGGAGGACAGACTCAGGGCAATTTCCATTATAGGACTGACCAGAGAACCGCTAAGGACTGTGGGGTCTGGACATGGGACAGAAGAGGAAGTGGGGCAGAAAGGGGCTGGGAGTACTCAGAGACAAGGCCTATCCGGCTATCTGCTCAGGTCTTACCTTCCGCTAACGCCCTCAAATTTAGTCTTTGGACATTATTATGAAAGAGGTTACAACTAGTCAAGACGAAACAATAGGCTTGAAAAAAAAGATGCTCATTTGTACAGCTGAATTTACAAAATGCAAATACCGACAATATTCTAGAAGCCATTTTTTAAGACCTACCTACAGCATCTGACCTAGTTATACTCCTCCTGGCAACCCTCTCTTCCCGTGGCCTCCAGGACACCATACTCGCCTGGTCCTTCTTCATCAATGGTGGCTGCTTCTCGATCTCCTCTGTTGGTTCTGTGCATGAAGAAGGAGCCACATAGTAGACCCGACAAGAGCAGGCGGACACATGGCAGGCTGACAAGCTCAGTGATGGAAGGTCACCACACAGGATGGTCTGATCGTAAGTTCCTAATGGGCAGGCCACGGTGAGGAGCCACATCCCAGGCTCACAGCTTCTTTAGCAAAAGTCAGTCTTAACCGTGAGCCCTATGGATTGTTCTTAGGCGTCTAGGATAAAGTGCCTTTGAAACGTTAGAGTAATTCTCTTTCCCGGACCCCTCAGAGTCACAACTGCAGCACCAGGGCAGAGACCACAAAACTCCTCATTGTTAGCTTGTTGCCCACAGAGCACCTCTACAGTACTGTGAAGGTTAAATGTTAACTATCCGGCACCCAGCTATGTAAGAGAAGTATGTGTTTCTGCATTTTGCATTTAATACAATCCTAGAGATGTCCTCACTTTGCCTTTTTCCTGCCTCTTTAATTGACCAACGATGGATTTCATGTAACCTTCCTTAAGTTTGTCTCCTTTGATTCTAAAATGTATAAAATGAACTGCAATAAATAAATAAATAAAATAAAACGAAAAAATAAAATGAACTGCAAAACTGCCATAGCAGCTAGAAGGAGAAGCCCCGCGGGTGCCCTGGCCACTGTAGACAGGTTAGTAATGGAAGATAAGGAGGAAAAATTCTAGCAGCAAAACACGTGACTCCATTAAGTTCAGGCTCAGCCTCGGGAGAGGCTCTACTGCGCAGCCGCAGGAGCTGGGCGGGGCCTGCGCAGCCGCAGAAGCAGCTGGGCGGGTCTGCGCAACTGCGGAGTAGCTGGCAGCCCGGGGGTGGGGGCACCTCGGACCCGCGCTCTTTCGCGCTGGGCCCGAGGCAACTGGAGCCGCCGAGTTGGTCTGGTCCCTGCGCCCCGCACCGCAGCGGGTGAGACCGGCTCCGCTGCGCCGGCATCGGGCCACCAGCCGTCCTCCCCAGGGCCGCCGCCACCATGCTGCTGCCCGTGTTCACCCTGAAACTGCGCCACAAAATCAGCCCCCGCATGGTGGCCATAGGGCGCTACGACGGGACGCACCCGTGCCTGGCGGCTGCCACCCAAGCGGGCAAGGTAACCGCTCCCACCTGCACGGAGCCTGGGCCCCTGGAGTCCCACGATCTCCGCGGGCCGCTACCCTCGACCCCGCCCCTCATCCCCCGACTCCGCCCCCAGCCTTGGGTTGCCCGGCAACGGGTCGGTTGTCCTGTAGTTCTCCATCCTGCGCAGAATAATGAACAGTGGGGTCTCGCATGAATGGCTTTTCTGAGCAGTGAACTGTGCAAGGGGAAGGGACTGGTCAGGGTTAGCAGTGGTAACAGACCTCAGATTCTCTGCCTTTCCCTCTGAACTCCTTCCACTATCTCAGACTGCCCCGAGCCACACAACTTGATGAAAAAATAGACAACGACCCCACCCGCCAATGAAATGATTCAGATTGCACTTTTGATTTTGATATGTATCCATGTACATTCACATCTTTTCCCGTAAGTTATTCACTGAATACCTATGTACTTAGTGAATAACTTATGGGGAAAGATGTGCCAGGTGCTGTGCAAGGTGTGGGAGTCACAGAGATGAACAAGACATGGTCATTCAACGGCCACCAATTTTTAAAAAAGTGTTGAGGATTGACATTCATCATCTCGGCATTCTTGCAACAATGCCAAGGGCATTGGCTCTGGTACCTACTAATTTCATGACCCGGGGCAAGTTACTTAATAATAGTATCTACAACATCGGGTTGTTATGAGGATTAAATAAGTTAATATATATGAAGCATTTGCCATATAAGAAATGGTCACTAATTGTTAACTGTTATTTTTTATCCCTCCCACGTCACTGACTAGTGGTTCAGAAAGGTTTGAAGTGATACTTGAGGTCACTCAACTAGAAAGTCATGGAAATGAGATTAGAGACCCTGTTCTCTGACCCAGCGCAGATTTCATAATGATTAAAACATTTATATAATAACCCTTCCCCTTATGTTGTGTATTCTTAGGATATGCCTTGGGATACATAATTAAAAAATAATTTTCATTAAGTTGTTTAATGGAGTAAAGCACTTAGCACAGGCTCTGGCAAAGAATAATGCTCATTGTTATTGTTAAGAAGCACTGACAAATGCCAGACAGAAATTCATATTGTTTCTGCTGGGAAGGGCCCATTGATAGTAGCTCAGCCCCTAGTTTATTGAGGTCTTATGTGCTGGGCACTGTTCTTAGCTCTGCAGGTGCAAGGGTGAATGTGACAAGTCTCTCCCCCTTAGAGCTTACATTTGAGAGGGGGAACCGGACATTTCAGGGGGCAAAATGTATTTTTATATCTGAGATTTGTATGACTCAGTTGAAGTCTGTAAAACAGGTTTACTAACTACCAGACTGTTTTAAGGGTTAGGAAGTGAATTCATTCGGTGCTTGGTTGAAAGAAAGATACTAAAGGAAGTGTTTATTATTTTATTTGCTGGGATCGTTTTGGGGTGTCAGAGTGCTCTGACAGCCTGCGGAGCCTAGCATGTAAGCTGCCCTAGTAAGCAACCAGATCAGCAGTTCTCAACCTGTGGGTCGCAACCCCTTTGGCGGTCGTATGTTCAGTTTGTAACAATGAAAATACATCCTGCATCTCAGATATTTACATGACGATTCGTAACAGTAGCAACATTACAGTGATGAAGTAGCAACGAAAATAATTTTATGGTTGGGTCACAACATGAGGAACTGTATTGAAAGGGCCAGAAGGTTAGAACCACTGAACTAGATCTTGTACATGACCTTGTTCTTGACAATGCCAGGAACCATGGATTCCCACAATTCATAGTGATTGAAAGCCAGCCATGCACAGAACTGTGTTGTAGGTGTTTTAAGTAAGTTTATGGGTGATTAAAGTGACTTTTTGTTAATGTTGATATCTGTTAATAACCTAGTCTTTTAGAAAATGTATGTTAATTTTACGTATTTTAAGGGAATGTAATGAACTGGTTTTGTTGCAGGTTTTTATTCACAATCCTCATACACGGAGCCAGCATTTCAGCGCATCCAGAGTCTACCAGAGCCCCCTGGAGTCTGATGTTTCTCTTCTCAACATTAACCAGGCTGTCAGCTGCCTGACTGCAGGAGTATTGAACCCTGCACTTGGCTGTGATGCTCTTTTAGTGGGGACACAGACGAATCTTTTGGCTTACGATGTCTACAATAATTCAGATTTTTTCTACAGAGAGGCAAGTATACCCCTTGATCGCCATAAAACCCCCCTGACCCATTCATGTTCACTTTTGTTATGCTTGAACGAGATCAGACATGGATTTTGGTTTATTACGTGGCTGTTGTACTGTAGTCCAACACCACGGTGATTTTGCCATTTGCAGCTGCTTCATCCACTTGACATTTATTTGGTCATGATTGCTAACCGCTTTCATTTTGCATTTCCCTCGTGAACAGTGATGCAGAACGCCCTTTCCTGTGCCTGTTTATATGTCTTTTGTGAAGTGTTTAAGTCTTTGCCTATTTATTTATTAGTAGTTTGTGTGTATTATTGATTTGTAGTTCTTTGGAGATAGTGGGTACAAGTTCTTTGTCAGATTTATATATAACAAATATTTTCTCCCAGTATGTGGCTTATTCCAACAGGTAGGTATCTTTTGATGAGTAAAAGTTTTCCATTTTGATAAAGCCCAGCTAATCCATTTTTTTTCTTTAACTGTGTGTGAGTGCTTTCCCTGCCCTTCTAAGCATCTTTGGTCACATAGATATGCTTCCTGTGTTATTGCACAAGACTGGAATTGAGTTTAGGACTGTATTAGTCAGGGTTCTCCAGATAAACAGAATTAACACGATGTGTATAGAGAGAGAGGGGTTGGGGGGGGGGGGATATATTTTAAAGAATTGGTTCACATGGTTGTGGAGGCTGTCAAGTCCAAAATTTGCAGGGTCGGCTAGCAGGCTGGAGACCCAGGGAAGAGCTGATGTTGAAACACAAGTCTGAAGGCAGTGTTCTGAATTCTTCCTTCCTCAGGGACCAGTCTTTTTTCTCTTAAGATCTTCGACTAATTGGACGAGGCCCTCCCACATCATAGAGTATAATCTGCTTTACTCAGAGACTGATTTTAAATGTTAATCTCGTCTAAACATACCTCCACAGAAGCATCTAGAATAATGTTTGGTTAAGTATCCTACAGAGCCTTGGACTTTGTAGCACTTTATTGTAGCAGATTAGTGTGTGACGCCAAGGGCCTGAGTGTACCTTGCATCTGTGCTCAGCCTTGCATCAGCACGCGAACGCCACAGTGACATACACCTGCCTCTCAGGAGACCATGTGGCTTCTCACATTGATGACGGAGGAATTTGAGTATCCAAATACAGATAAGGATACATGTTACCTCCCGTGTGCCTGCGCATCCTTGTTATCTGAGATTTTATTTTTTTTTCTTCTTAGGTGGCAGATGGGGCCAATGCAATTGTGTTGGGGACACTGGGGGACATTTCCTCTCCTCTTGCGATTATTGGTGGAAATTGTGCTCTGCAGGGTTTCGATCATGAAGGAAAGGACCTTTTTTGGACGGTATGAAGAACAAAACACTCTCTGTAGGACTCATTTTTACTCTAAATGTTCTTTATTTAGCTTTGTTTGTTTTTTACCATCCATATTTATAATTCTGTGCATTAAAAAAATATGCAAAATTTGAATAACACCTGTTGGTGGTTTGTAATCTTCTCTTCCCTGTGGCTATTATAGTCAGATGGAGTGGAAAAAGAGGGCATGCTCATGACACTGGTTTTGTTTTCAGGTCACTGGAGATAATGTTCATTCCTTGGCCTTGTGTGACTTTGATGGTGATGGGAAAAAAGAGGTATGTGGGGGAGGAGATACTTCTCTTTGTGTTCAGCTGAATAAATTTTCCCGTGCAGTGGCCTTGGTGTTGGGAGAAGTGTCAGCTTCTCATGGTTGCTCTTGGGCTCTGTTGCCTCAGTGATGAGCTCACTGGCCTCATTTGTCTTTCTCCTGTCTTTTGAACAATACATCACTTTGTTTGTCTAGTGCAAAGATCAAGGCCATGATGTTTCAAAGACACAGGACAGGGAGGGAGGGTGGCACAGTTGATGGGACTGCAGTCATACTCACAATCTTATAACTTGCTTTTGATGCTTTCGAATCATATCAGTAAACAGTTTTCAAGTTTGGCCAACTTTTTCAGGAATTTAGAAGTTTTAGAGATTGGCTCTTACTTCGTTTTTGAAATTGATTCTCATGGTTCCTCTAGAAATTAGCTTCTTGAGCAGCCAGCGAACTGCTGTGTTGGGCAGTGACTTGCCCCTCTCTTGTCCATGGATGCCAGGCTCTGGCATTGGAAATGGGGCTTCCATCTGAGGCAGGCAGGCGCTGAGCCAGCGAGCACTTTCAGGTGCAGCTGGAAGAACACGCCCTGATGGGATGTGCAGCCCCATGGCTGGAGGAAATCTCTAGAGCCACTACTTCTTTTTTTTTTAAAATCATATTTGTATTGATTTCAGAGAGGGAGCAAGAGATAGAAACATCAGTGATGAGAGAATCATTGATTGGCTGCCTCCTGCATGCCCCGTACTGTAGATTGAGTCCAGAAACCCAGGCATGTGCCCTGACTGGGAATTAAGCTGTGACCCCCTGGTTTACAGGTCGATGCTCAACCACTGAGCCACACTGGCCAGGCAAGCCACTGTTTCTTCACTGACTGAATTTGTTGGCGTTCACATTGGAGGGAACTTTTTCGAGCATTGGCTCACTGGGAAACTAGAAGTCTTGGGTAGCAGTAGCAACATACAAAATGTTATGCAATTTTTTGTTTTATTTATGGGAATTTTTCTGTGTTCACTTGCTGAACTAAATATGCATATTTTTATTTTAAGCTTCTTGTTGGATCTGAGGACTTCGATATTCGAGTTTTTAAAGAAGATGAGATTGTGGCAGAAATGACAGAAACAGAGGTGAGAAGTCTGACCTTGGGCAACATAGATGTGCACAGTCCAATGTAACATCAGATGAGCGTGCTGGCCATCTCACAATCTAGTCTGTCGTAGGGTAAAAACTGGGGGTTAAACAGAGCTGGACATTACAGAGAAAGAAGCATTTAAAAATCTCGTATAAGACATATTTTGAAAAGACTGATTAAATAGAGGAAAATTGAGTGGAAAGGCATTTGCTTTAATGAGTTACATCATCATCATCATATCATGCCAAGTATTTATTGTGCACCTAATATATGTCAGTCACTGTTCTAAGTGCTTTACATCAATTAAGTCATTTAACTCTACAACAATCCTATTGGGAAGGAAATACTATTATTCCCATTTTAATGATATTAAGTTTCTTCGTTAAATTACACACACAGGTCAT